CATGTGTTGAATTATTTGTCGTAATTGTTTAAATGTTGTCGATAGTTAAGTAGCGCCCGATGAGTTTTAAATTTTGAATTGATTTTTTTTTATAAAAAAAAATAATTACTCAGATTTTTGTAAATTTATTCAGTAAATTCTTTTCTAAAAAAAAAAAAAAAGTGGGGCGTTACAGTTTGGTATCAGAGCCAGTCTGCGTTTCTGTAGACTGTCTCTTTTGTTTGTGTACTTAATGACCATTTCAATCACTCGCTTCGTCTCGCCATGCCAGCTCAAGGTATGAGTTTCATTGTTTGATTTATGGTCGATAACGTGATTATGGTTTGTTCTTTTATTGGGGTTTAGGATTTACCTTCCTTTTATACGGACTTTAACTCTAGTGATATAGAGTTAAATGTTGTCCTTAGAAGTTCTTCGTTGTGAGTTTTCGATATGGGATAAAACTATTAGACGTGTGTTAGAACCCGATTTATGAGAACCGAGAGTGGAGTCTAGGAGTCGGATTCATGTTGATGATCCGATCGCGTGTGCTTGTCGATTCTCGGAGATCGGTTTAATGGTTGATTTTCCTTGTTATATTTGGTCATTGTTATTCGTTCATTTCTCGTTGGTTTATTTCTTGAATTCTTCGAGGATAATAGAACTCTATTGTTGAGTCATCGATGCCCTCTTCTTTTCTTATGTATGGCTGTATTGTTATCGAAAAAATTCAAGCCTTGACTTGTCATCCGAACCTTCGTCTCGTGATTGTCGTACGCTCTAAGAGTTGGGTTTGAAAAACCTCTTTTTGAAAACCTTTCATTGATGGTTGTTTAGTCACTGTTTTGACCCCTTAAACTCGGTCGATAGGCTTTGAACTCCTCTGAAGAGTTAAAGTCCAATCTCTTGTATTTTATCTCGATCAAGAACCAAGTAACTATCAATTGTGTGGTGGAAGATGTGGCCAAATTTCTTCGAGAGCGCGTCCAGTTTTTTTGGTTTTTCAGTTTTATATGTGATCTGTTTACATTGTTGTTTTTGATCCCCCTGAAATCCCGTCATCTCTTTTTAAAGTCTCCTGGTAAATTGTAGACCAGCCTGTTGCCTTTCATGAGGAGCAAGAATCGCGTGTTTATCATTCTTGTTTCGAGAATTGTACCGGAAATCCAATTAGTGTGTAGTCAGTTTTCGTATAAATCACAGCAGTTTAAGTCTTTCATTTTTGTTATTTTTGGCGTGCTTTTGGTAGTCTGGGAACCTCGATGTCTTCATATGAATTGTAGTTTTGTCTCTTAGATTTCAAATGGCGCGATTCATTCTAATAGCATTTTTGTACAAAAAGGTACGAACTTCATGCAATCAGTTTTATGGAAAACTTGCAGCAAATTTGATGTGTGAGCTTGATCCGTTTTCAACACTTTAACCTACCCGTTCAAGCCTTTGCTGCCCGAGTGTTTTTCCCTTGCCCTTGATTACTACCTTTGGCTTAGTAGTCAAGTTTGAATTGTACTTCGAGACCAATCTTATTTAATTGATTTTCGTACCTTGACAAATTTCACTTGATTTTTCTTTCCCTTACATGGAGCCTTGGATGGAGATGAGCGTCGAAATTTCGTTTTCTATCGACCCTTTTCTGATATCGAACCTTGTGTCGTAACGTCACCAAGTCGATGCATAGGTTAACTTGTGAATACCTTAGCTTCGAGATAGGCAGCGGTCCATTTTCTTTCGTGATCTGTTTTAACTTTGAACCAATGTGGCGTCCGTGAGAATCATCGCATACCAGATCAGGAGGATCCTCGACACCTTTCTAGGGATGTTTTGTTATAGAAAAACCTTTTAAGAAGGGTAGTCGAGCCCGATGTAAGCATATCATGAAGTGTAGAGACGTCTTCTTTTTTATTGTATTGGTCGTAAATCTTTGAAAACTCTAGTTCTTTTTCCCTTCGGAGTTTCGAGAGTGATCCTTGGTATTTCTTTGACATTTTTTTTTTGCAATTCTTTGAAAACTCTTGTTTTTGATTCGTTGGAGTTTTCACTTCAAGATTTGCAACCTTGTGTACTGATTAAGACGAGTACTTTCGTTTTTCGCTTGTCTTAAATCGTTCTTTCGGTTGTGATGATGCCATTCGGCCTGGGTACTCCATTCATACCCGGATCGGTTTGTCGTAGTTTCATCGATGAGGACCTATGTTCGAGACGCGATCAAGAAGAATCAACCGAGGAGGCTTTGTGATGAGATCTAGAAATGTGTAAGTCATATCAATGTAGAAATTTGAGCTCGTTTAGGACTGCTGGCATGATTAGCTACCGGCGAAAGAGCTAACGTGACGGCCGACACTGCCAGTCGGAAGAGT